CTATGCCTTTGTCTCTTTGTTTATTTTGAATACGCGCCCTCTAGCGGCGAAAATTACATATTGTGCCTTTAATTTAACTAACCCAGCTTTATACTTTAAAGGTGGGGCAAGCGATTTTTCAAAAACACTTTAGAAAACCGATTCGGGCCGAATAGCAAAACAAACTTGTAGCCAATCAGCAGTAAGGGGCGTGTCTACTCAGGATGTGGAGGAGAGCGCGTTCAGTGCACGGGACGGACATTAGCCGAGCCGAGCGACAGAAAGATAGAGATGGCGGATAAAAAAACAAAAGAGGAAAACGTCTGCGGAACAAAAGAAGGCTTAAGGCAAGAAGTAGGACCCGTGTAAATATCGGATCAGCTTTCCAGCACTGGAGAGATCTGAAGGAGATGGGGTAGGGGCGTGTTTGTTTTGGTGATTTCAAATGTCAACATTGGCTACCAGAAATCGCTTACCCCACCTTTAATTTGCTGTTTTGACCATGTTTGACCATATGAAGAAATGTAACCGCATTTAAAATGAGGCGACACTCCAGAAGACTGTAAATCAGTTGCTTGTGTTTGTAGGCACATGTCTGAAAGGGTTTGTTTGTGTGTTTGTGTGTTGCAGAGACTCATTGAGACCGCACCCTTCGGTGATGATGCGGAGAACATCAGCCAACAAATCCTCAATCACAACAAGTTCCACAGTTCAATCCAGAGAAGCCCGGAAGTAGACAGAGCGCGGGATGAACTGGTACGTTGTGTGCACTACACACACGCTCATGCTAATGCAAACACAGGAATTTGAATGTTGATTCGAAGTGGCAGTAACAGGATATTGAATTGAAATGTAACTAAAATGGCATAACATTCAAATAAATTCACATAACTGCTTCAAGTGTTGTTTTATAATATATTTAATTGTAAGAATGATAAACATGTACTGACAGAATCTTTCTGCTTCAGCTGCAGAGCAGAGAAAAGGCCGGACTCCACGCTCTGGACCAAGAATGGGACAGTTTACAGGTCAGCTAATGAAACATCTCTCATTTCTCTTTATCATCTTTGAGATGTTTCTGCACTTTGATCAGAGTCCATTGCAGGTGATTCAATTCAATTGCTTATACACCGTCAAATAGATTATATATAAATGTGTTCGGTTTTCATTCACCTACTCATTTTTACCCCATTTTAGAATAATAGTAGAGTTATCAAAACTGTATAGTAATACAAATGGGAATATTATGTAGCAACTATTTTAGACTGTAAGTGTTTAACAGATCAGTACTCTCCAGTGTTTGCGCTTCTCTCAATCGGATCTTTTCTTCTTTCTTACATGTAGAAAATGTCCCACACGCGTGCGGCTCAGTTGCGAGACCTGCAGAACATCATCGAGGAGATCTCCAGAGCCATCATATGGGTCAACGACAGAGAGGAAGAGGAGCTGGTGTTTGACTGGGGCGATAAAAACATCGACAACTACATCCCACGAAAACAAGAGAGCTACTCGGTGAGGAGACACACAAGCATTAGAAAATATTATACAGTAATGCAAATGATCACAAATGCATATTGAATTGGTATAGTGATTTTCACAATTTCAGCTTTTACAGTAAATGCATGTTTCAGAGATACAATGTCATTTGACCCTAATGAACTGAGAATCTTTCAAAGTGTTAATTAAAAACTACTGCAAACTTTAATGTTAACCTTATTGTAAAGAGTTACCCAGTTTACATTTCTTTGTTTGTATACATTTATTAATTTAGCGGACACAAAAAATGCAAAAAATACAGGAAAGAGAACAAGGATTACTTCTTCAGCTGTTGTTTTATGTCTCAAGTGATCAGGTGGTTGTCGACTCGTTAAATTCAGAATTTTGCTTAATTCTGAGATACATGCACTGATGAAATACAACATGTACACATGGGAAAACGTAAAAAAAATCACATTCAGTGAAATTAAGACAATTCAAAAAAATAGTCTTTCTTAACTATGCCAGACAGTTATTTCCCGTCATATAAATGCCTGATGATTTTATCTTATAAAATACATCCTTCCTTCCAGAAACTGATGAGTGATCTGGAAGAGAAAGAGAAAGAGCTGAATAAACTGAAGGCAAAGGTGGACATCCTCCTGAGGAACCAGCACCCAGCATCTGACAAGATAGAGGTGAGGAAACATCTTCACGCTCAACTTAGAGCAATGACAACATCTGTGACAAAACAGTGGCTGTGAAAACTTGTCTCATTCATGCTAATATGACTTTGAAATTATAATTTTTGTCTGGCACACACTAAAATGTACAAACATGATATTTTGTATGATATAGATTTTTTTTCAGTTATACAATGGTTTATAATATTTAACAAGGAATTCTGCACATCACTTGGAAATAAGCACTTTTCTCTGGTTCTTTCAGGCTTATATGGACACACTGCAAACCCAGTGGAGCTGGTTACTGCAGATCACCAAGTGCATCCATGTTCATCTGAAGGAGAACGCTGCTTACAGCCAAGTAAGGCTTTGTCGTTTGATGTATATATATATATATATATATTAGTGCTGTCAAACGATTAATCGCATCCAAAATAAAAGTTTTTGTTTACATGATATATGTATGTGTGCTGTGTATATTTATTATGTATATATAAATACACACACATGCATGTATATATTTCAGAAAAATAGGTTATGTTTATATATTAAATATATTTATATATAATATAAATGATATGAATATAAATATAGACATGTAAATATTTTCAAAAGATATACTGTATGTGTGTGTATTTATATATACATAATAAATATACACAGAACGCGTATATTATGCAAACAAAAACGTTTATTTTGTATGCAATTAATCGCGATTAATCGTTTGACAGCACTAATATATATATATTTTTTTTTTTCAGTTTCAGTTGATTTTATTTAAATTTTTAGTAATTTTGTTGTGTTTTTGTCATTTTTTAACTGTACAAATATTAGTTTTATTTCAAATAACGTATATTAATTATAATATTAATTTTGTTTCAATTTTAGTTTTTTTAGTACATCAAGTTAAATTAAATTAAAATGAGGAATGTTGCAAGCAACTATTTTATTTTAATTCAAGTAATGAACATTTTTATGCTAAAAAAAAAAAAAAACCTGGTACGTGCTCAAGTGTTCAAATGTATTTATGGGATTTTTATAATGGCCAGTTTTGTTGTTAACAATTCTCAGAAAGCATCAATGAAGATAAGATTGGTTGTCTTTTAAAAAGACAAGAAATTATTTATTTAGTTTTTAAAATAGTATAGTGAATAATGCTGCCTTAAATTTCGACTTATTATTCACACAAAATCTTTTGGCTTCTGAGGGCTTGGAATATATAGTGCACAAGGCGTATGGGTTACTTTTATGATACTTACAGTATATGGTGATTTTTGTGTCTGAAACTCGAAAGCCCCAGTCCACATTATTGTAATTGCATGGAAAAGAGCAACCAATCCTTTCTTCAGAATTTCTCTTTTTGTGTTCTATGGAAAAAACGCATACAGGTGTGGACCTGAAGGGTAGTAAAGGATAAAATAAGGCTTATTTTTGTTATTATTCTTTTGTAGTTCTTCAAGGAGACCAATGAGACGTACACCAGACTGCAGAAAGACCACGAGAGCATCCGTAAGAAGTTCACCTGTGACAAGAACACACCTCTGGAGAATCTGACAGAAATGCTCCGAAACCTGGAGGTGAGACAAAATCAAACACCTGTAGAGTTAAATCAACAAATATATAACACATGACGTACTATAACGTCATTACCTATGTCAGTATGAGGTGACTGCACTATGTGTGCACAGAAAATGTTCCCGTTCTTCATCAGCGTGTAAATAATTGTGCTTGTGTGTGTGTGTGTAGAAAGAGAAAGAGAGGATCATGGAGAGTAAGAGGCAGGTGCAGACGCTGGTCAGCAAGTCTAAGAGCATCGTGTGTCTGAGGCCTCGTAACCCAGAGGAGAAGAGCAGTGGCCCGGTCATCGTCAAAGCCCTGTGTGACTTCAAACAGGACCAGGTCAGTCACTCTCACATACAAACTGATGTCTCTTTATTTTCTTTGTAATATCTGAAAATCTATATATATTTATATAGTCATGTGTTATTTAGAAGGACTTACAGTGATTTATTTCCCAAGCATGTTAGTTGCGGTTTGAACAGGAAACTGAGAACGGTCTATTTTCATAACAGATGAATGAAAAGTCTTCAATTGGTGCACAACTAGCTTCACTTTTAAGTTACACAATGACTATAAAGTAAAAAAAGCTGTACAGTAATAAATTACAAACATGTGACCGCTCATCGGTAGATTTCTATATTCATGTGCCATTGCAATGTTGATTTATGCAATTTATGATGGCATTATAACATTTACACTAGAGCACAAAAGCAGTCTTAAGTCGCTGGAGGATATTTGTAGCAATAGCCAACAATACATTGTATGGGTCAAAATTATACATTTTCTTTTATGCCAAAAATCATTAGGATATTAAGTAAAGATCATGTTCCATGAAGATATTTTGTAAATTTCCTACCGTAAATATATCAAAACTTAATTTTTGATTAGTAATATGCATTGCTAAGAACTTTAATGAACTTTAAACACTTTAAAAGCGATTTTCTCAATATTTTGATTTTTTTGCACCCTCAGATTCCAGATTTTCAAAGATTGCCAAATATTGTTCTATCCTAGCAAACCATACATCAATAGAAAGCTTATGTATTCAGCTTTCAGATGATGTATAAATCTCAATTTCAAAAAATTGACCCTTATGACTGGTTTTGTGGTCCAGGGTCACATATTAACTTCCACTTTGTTGCAAATCAACATTTTTTAATTATAGTAATATAATGTGACATGTAATTTAAAAGATGATGATTAACATTTCCATTACTAAGAATTGGCAAGCTGTAAAACCATTTTCTCTTTTGGCATGGTCAGCAAGTGATTTCTCATCAGGCACCGAACAGAGTACCAATAAAATGTTGTTTTAACCAGTGGAATGACTTAAGAAGTAGGAGGACAGTTGAAGAGTAACATCTGTTATTAAACATGATTGCCAGTCCCAAACGCTGACTTTGTTAAAGGGACAGTTCACCCAAAAATTAAAACCCTGTCAGCATTTAACCACTCTCGTGTTGTTCCAAACCCTTAAGACTTTGTTTTGTCTTCAAACCACAAATGAAGTTATTTTTATTGAAACCTGAGAGTTTCTGTCCCTCCATTGAAAGTCCAGGTCACCAAAAATGTAGAAGATTCAAAATGGTCATAAAGCTGGTGTTAAATGAAACGAGCGATTTAAACCAAGTCTTGTGAATAGACATGATCGCTTTATATATTCATCTAAACAATGACCGATGCACATAGAGCGCATCACATGTGGTAAGTAAGCTTCTGTGTTTTCCATATTTCATGAGCTTGTGTGCTTAAAAGCCTAAATTAAATCTCTTCATCATATAAAGTGATCCTATCTCTTTAAACCCCTCAATTCATGGCGCCTTTATGACCTTTTTGGATTTTCTAAGTTTCATTAGAGGGACAGAAACCTCTCAAATTTCAATAAAATTATCTTAATTTGTGTTTCGAGAATGATCCAAAGTCTAATGGGTTTGTAAAGACATGAGGATGATGAATTATTAAATTATGACAGAATTTTCATTTTTGGGTGAACTATCCCTTTAACATAGCCATTGATTGAATATTAATGCGGTTGTCGCTGCCTCATTTTTTAGGGAGATAATTTGGTTATAGACAATGTTTAAAGGTCTGTATTTTTACCACTTCTCATGTTAGGATGACTCACTTCCTCATTTATGCTGTAAGCCACTTTGAATAAACGTGTCATTAAATGAAGAAATGCCATTGTCTCTCTCTTTTAATTTACCAAAGTTGGCAGTGTAATTTTCAAGTAAACACAAAAACCTTGGTTAGTAGTTTCAAGTGTCATTTAAAGCTAAAACTAAATTCTCCAGAAGCAGGACGTAAACATACATTGTATGTATTTATGTGAAATGATATGTGAGCCTGGAGCACAAAAGCAGTCTTAAGTCACTGGGGTATATTTGTAGCAATAGCCAACAATACAGTGTATGGCTCAAAATTATCGATTTTTCTTTAATGCCAAAAATCATTAGGATATTAATTAAAGATCATGTTCCATTAAGATATTTTGTAAATTTCCTACCGTAAATATATCAAAACTTAATTTTTGATTAGTAATATGCATTGCTAAGAACTTCATTTGGACAACTTTAAAGATGATTTTCTCAATATTTCGATTTTTTTGCACCCTCAGATTCCAGATTTTCAAATAGTTGTATCTCAGCCAAATATTGTCCTATCCTAACAAACCATACGTCAATGGAAAGCTTATTTATTCAGCTTTCAGATGCAATCATCAAAGACAAAGACCCTTATGACTGGTTTTGTGGTCAAGGGTCACATATGAAACACTGAAATGTCGTTTGACTTATACAGAAGGGCATTCTGAAAGGGAACGAAGGTATCCTGAAAGACAACTCTCAGCGCAGTAAGTGGCACGTGACTGGACCTGGAGGACTGGAAATGCTCATCCCATCAGTATGTCTGTTCATCCCACCACCAAACCCTCTGAGCATCGGTCTGGCACACAAGTAATCAATGTGGTTGTTGCTACCTCAGTTTTTAGGGAGTAAATGTGCTTCTAGACGATGTTTGAAAGTTTGTGATTTTACCACTTCTCATGTTGGGATGAATCTCTTTGTTATATTGCTCATTTGTAAATGAAGAAATGTAAATGCATTTCTCTCTCTTGTAATTTACCAAACTCCCTTAAGCACAAAGGTTAATTGTTTCAGGTGTAATTTAAAGCTAGAACTACATTCTCCAGAAGCAGGATGTAAACATACAGTGCATGTATTTCTGCAAAACGGTATGAAACACTGAAACGCAGTTTGGTTGTTACAGAAGGGCATTCTGAAAGGGAATGAAGGAATCCTGAAAGACAACTCTCAGCGCAGTAAGTGGCACGTGACTGGACCTGGAGGACTGGAAATGCTCATCCCATCGGTGTGTCTGCTCATCCCACCTCCAAACCCTCTGAGCATCAGTCTGGCACACAAGTACGACAAAAACACGCATGCACACAGATCAGAGTGCAACAAGACATGCACTGATGAACTGCTTGCTTGACAGGAACGAGCAGTACTACGAAGCCATCATGTCCATCTGGAGTCAGCTGTACATCAACATCAAGAGTCTGATCTCCTGGCAGTACTGCATGAAGGACATCCAATACATCAACTCCCTCACACTCTCAATGGTATGAATTGATCGGATGCGTCTTTCACTCCATGCCATTTATGTTTTTTACTTAGCATTATGTCTCCATCATTTTTTGCATCTCGTTCCCTGTCTGTTTTAGCTGAAAATAACTAAAAAAAAAAAACGCACAACAAAATTAAAAAAACTAACTAAAATTAAAATGAAATGAAATGGGAAAAAATATAAAAAATTAAATACAAATAAACATAAAATATAAAAATTATGATTAAAATTATAATTATAAAAAATAAAATATAGATTCAAGATATTAATAATAACTATAATAGTATCTCAGTGATACTAAAATAACAGTAGTGCAGGCAAATTGAGACCCAAAACGACAATAATATTAGGTACTTAAACTATTAATGTACTTTTAAACAAGAATTAAAAAAAGAGGCTGGACATATTTCAAATATAAAGTGTCTCCCTCGGGTCCTTCACCCTGCCTTCACACATATCTTTACCTTACAATTTAAATCAGGACAAATATGAGCAACTCTAGTCCTGGACCACTGTTCAGAGTTCAGCTTCATTCCTAAACATATACTTGAAAATTACAGGAAGGAGACTTACTAGGTTTGGAGACTAAGGTTAAACCCTCCAGGACCAAAGCTGCCCATCCCTGCTTTAGGACACTTTCATTCATTTACTGTTGCTTTACAGCCTAACTGTTGTGTTATTGTTTTGTCGTGTAGGGGAGAATGGAGTAAGAACAGAAGTGGTGAAGGTGGAGACAGATGGGAAGGCGGTGGTGGCTAACGGGAAGCTGGTGAGCTCAGGCCTGAACGTGAGTCTCATGTCAGATCTGAGTGCTCTCAGACGCAGGGTGGAGGCGGCGGAGACGGGCTTGATCCAGAACCTCCACGTGCCTCTGAAGGAGAACGGCATACAGGAGTGCTCCCAAAGACTGGTGTTGCTGCAGGTACAATCAAACACAAAACATCACTGCTAATGGCATGGTCTGTTAAAACAATTACTGATGGGCCTATATATCGGCTGATACTGAAGATCAGATTTCTGCATTGCTTACAATTATAGACACAGTCTGACTTAAAATGAAAATTCTGTCATCATTTGCTCACCCTCAAGATGTTTCGAATCTGTATTAGTTTCTTTCTTTTGTTAAACACAAAAGAAGATATTTTAAATAATGCTGGTTACTGAACAGCTGACGGTAGCCATTGACTTCAGTGGCATAGAAAAAAAAAACAATGGAAGTCAATGGCTACCATCAGCTGTTTGGTTACCAATGTTTTTCAAAATATCTTCTTTTGTGTTCAACAGAAGAGAGAAACTCATTTAGGTTTGGAACAACTTGAGGGTGAATAAATGATGACAGAATTTAGATTTTTAGGTGAACTATCCCTTTCATGAATAACACACAAACAGTTGTACTTTCCAAAATCTTACTGAAGACACTTAGTGATCATTGACAACGCAAACTGGAGAAAATTCTGTTAAATCTTCTTTAAAAGCTAATTAGAGTCAATTAAAGGGACAGTTCAACCAAAAATCTAAATTCTGTCATCATTTACTCAGCCTCATATTGTTCCCAAAAGACCTAAGTTTGACTTTAGAACACAAATTAAGATATTTTTAATGACGGTGAGGAAATTTTCCCACCAGTTAATCGACGTGTGACAACACTGGTAATACCGGTATCACCGCGGGGGCGTTCCCTCTTTTCCTCGCTTTCCTTCACTTTTAAAGCTTGTAAAAGTGGCGTGCGCATTTTACTTTCACTTTCAAATAGTGGCAATTCGGAGTAAAGCAATTGTTCGTTTTCAGTTCGTTTGAATTTTCCCTCTTTTCCTCGCTTTTAAATAGCTTAAAAGCGCCGTGTGCATTTTACTTTCACTTTAGAATTAGCGGCAGTTAGGCGTCAATTGCTTGAATGCAACAACAAAATACAACGTCAAACTCACTTTAGCCTATATATAAAACATAGAACTTTTATTAACAAAACAAATAAAAATACACAATGCTATAGGGCAGGCGATGCCTAATATAAAATAACAAATAACTTACATAAAGTTTAAATGTACAAAACTGGAAACAAGTAAACATGTATAATATATAACCAAATAAATAAGAAACGTAGAACGTTTATTAGCAAAACGAGTAAGAAAGCTTGGAGGAACGGCATACACCTTGATGTCAAATAAAATCCAACTAAATAAGAAACGAATGTTTAAAAAAACTTCCAAAATCACCTTAGATAAACGGCAAAAGTCAACAGGCTTTTCAAAATCCAAAATATTGCCAAACAGGCGCTTTTGCATTTCGTTTCGAAACTAAATCATCCGCGATCGTCTTGTCTGTCTCACCGCACTCTTCTCGTCAGTCAGCTCGACTCACTCTCCTCACTGGAGAAATTAAATCTGATCTGTGATGCAACTGTCGTTCAACTGCATTGAGCAGCCGCGTTCAGTTTTTAATTGTAGTGTCTGTTCTTTTACTGAACTAAATTATTTTTATTACTATAAAAAATCAAAACGACGGTGGGGGTCGGTGCCGCGGTGGGCAAGTGACGTAACCGGTGTTGCGGCTTAACACTAGCACTATTTCTATCACCGTCAGCACCGTCTATCGCGGCAAGCCTAATCTCTAATCATTTTTGTCTATGCATTGAAAGTCCATGCTACCTAAATTTTCAAGTTTCAAAAATGCATAAAGCACCTTTCGGACTGTAATTATTTCTTATGGGGATAAAATTAAATTTCAACAATTATAGGGGCTAGTCTGTGATTTTTATTGGCATCTTAAATCCAAAATGTTGATTTCTCTCACCACACACAGCTGAATTTCCTACTGATCTCGGAGTTTACAGGAAGGGACCAATTGGAAAATCATTTGTAAATCCTTTTTGGCCACTGCCACTTCCTATTGCAACTAAAAATGAAAAAATGTCTTTTCAAGACTTTTTGAGGGTGGATTATTACGGCAACTTTTGATTGATTGTATATTATATTAAAGTGCAATGTTTTATAGAAGTCTATTAATAGTGCTAGTGTTAGATTGGGGACTGTGATAAAATATAGTTTTTTTGTTTTCGCCACATCTTCTCTTGATTCATATGAGCTAGTTTTGAGTTTAATCAGTAAAAACGATCTGTGTATGGTCAGGGTGTTCATCGTGATCTGGACTCCATCCGGGACGAGTATCTGCGTCTGAGGGAGAAGATCTTGCGAGAGCTGGAAGGAAGCACTAATGCAGAGCAGACCCGCTACCTGCGCTCTGAACTGGACCACATCAACCAGAAACTGGGCAGCCTGCAGGGCTTCTCAACCGCTTATATCCAGAGGCAAGAACATTTAAAACAACCGATATGGCATCTATTCATTCTATTAATATTTTGATTTTGCTCTCTTCCTAAGCCTGCTGAAATGTCTTGCTGTCTACAGGAGACATTTGAATCACATAGAGTTTAGCGTGGTTACACTTTACTTGTATGCTTATAGTTACTTATAGTCATTCTACTAACTATAAGTAACTTTGCAGCTACATGTCAACTATAGATTATTAGTTGACTGCCAGGATATGGTCAAGGTTAGTAGAATAAGTCGGCATGTGCTTACAGTCAGTAGAATGTGTGTTGGACATAACTATAAAGTGTTAGCAGATATTAAGCAGACAGTCTACTAATACTCTAATGACTGCTAGTTGACATGTATTTGCTTATAGTTAGAAGAACGTCTGAAGTGGACTAGTGGAATAAAGTGTTACCTGGCTAATCTATTGGCATTATACTAAATATGCCATTACACTCCCATCTTGCTGTACCCAAAATGCACATCGAAATGGATTAGGTCCAAAAAGCACCAGTATGAAACAATCTGAGACAAAAGTGGACAAAATAAGGATTCGAGTTCTCTTTCAGGCACAGGGACAGTGTGAACCTAAAGAACTGGGTCTTTTTTTTTTCTCCTGATTCGCTTTTTGGTCCTCTTCGGGGGTCCGATTTTGGTTAAAGTGCCCATAATATGCTAATTGGCAAGTTTAGAATTTTTAATGGAGTCTGCTAGAATATATTTACATGACTTAAAAATCAAAAAGCATTATTCTTCTCATATTGGACATTGCTGCAGCTCATCTTTTCATGCTCTGTCTCTTTAAACCCAGAGTTTCTGAAAAGGTCTGCTCTGATTGGTTGGCTGATCCCAGTCTGTTGTGATTGGTCAGCTGATTAGAGCATGTCCCTTATTATAATTGGGTTTCATCTCCAGAGGCTTCATTAGCAGCTGTAAACAGTATTATATCTATGGTGACTATGGCGTCAGTATTGGAAATCCATAAATCCATACGTTTTTTTGTTTTCGTTTTTTTCCTGCTCTTGCAGTGTAAATAAGCAGCGTATCCTTGACATCTAAGATCCAAGAACATATATAAGCTTTCTCATTTAATTAACCTATGAATGGCTTACTTATAGTTGTTTCTGTCCATCAAGGTTAGGTGTGACAGGAGAAGGTATTAGTGTGAGAATTAATTAGCAGTAATCTTCTCACAGTTTTTTTTTCTCATAAGGATTTGTCTGTGTTTCCAGGCTCACTGCTGTTCAGGCTCTGCTCCAGAACCTCCTGCAGGCTGAGGACATCATTAAAGTCCACGAGGCTCGTCTGACAGAAAAAGAGACTTCTTCTCTTGATCTGAACGAAGTGGAAAAGTACCTAATGACTCTTAAGGTGAACTTAATATTTTTATTACTGTAATAATTAATATGACCCCTTGTCTTTTTTAACCAGGTACATAATGTGTGTGTGTCTGGGTTATTACAGTTAATTAAAACGAAAACTTAAACTATTTTTTTAATAAAAAAATGATAATTTCTTGAAATAAAATAAATGTTACCTGAAATAAAATACACTATAAAAAAACGTTATTTCAGCTAGTTGCCAAAGCAACATTTCTTATTTGAATTTAGTTTAACTTGATGTAATAAAATAACTACAACTAAAACTGAGATAATAATTAATAAAAAAAACTATATAGACATTTATTTTTGTATTTATTTATTTATAAAACAAAAACTACTAAAAATGACAAAAACACACAACAACTAAAAAAAAAAACTAAAATGAAAATGGAAAATTTAAATATTAAAAATGATTCATCATTTATCATTTTGAGTCATTTTGACCCTAAAGCACATTTTGAGTTTTATGCACTGAATGAAAAAATGATAGGATTAGGATTATTGTATATTGTAAGATATAATAATTTAATGGTGGTTGTCATAAAAAAAATGTTTTTGGAAAAGAATGCCTAAAAAAATAAGTCATTTTTGACTGAATTAGGAGATTTATTCAAGCATACAAATTCAATAATTAAAATAAGTATTAGAATTAAAATAAATGAAATTCTTAAAATATCAATAAAAGGTTAAATAAAAATATAACACATTTACAATACAGTATATTCAGAAAGTATTCAAAACCCCTCTTTTTTCACACGTTATTATGTTGCAGCTTTAAAGGAAAAGTCAGTGCTGTAGTCATAGAAAAGTAGACCTGTAGACCTGAAAAGAGTCTAAATTGTTCAGACAGTGTAAATATGATTTCTTTAGGGGTGACGGAAAGCCTCATTTCACACCAGCGTCACAAAAAATATATGTTTTTTCTTATAATCGCATGTCTCCAAAAATGGCTCATCTTGACTTCCGACTCAAAACGATTGAGCATGTCACTTATATATTTCTGTTTGATTATGTCTTGTGCCGTGCAGACGATGAAAGCAGAGCTGGAGCAGAAGAAAGGTGTTTTGAAGGCTATGGAGACTGAGCTGTCCAAGGCCGTGCACTGGAACAGTCAAATAGACAAATCTTTCCACCAGTGTGATGTTGACCTGTCCAGATACTCAGAGCTCGCTGGACAGATGACTGACCGCTGGCGCCGAATTGTGGCTCAGATTGATAGCAGGTATTGATAATTATGCTGTTCTGGCAAGAATTTCCACATGCACTTTTGGGATGCACAATGGTAAATGGTGTAGAAATGTAGAAAGTAGGACCACCATAGTTTCATTCAATTTTGCGTGCTTGTTTGTCAGGGTATGGGACCTGGAGAAACAGGAGAAACAGCTGAATCACTACAAGCAAACCAACTCCATGATGAACAAATGGATTCAGGAAACACGTCAGCGCCAAGATGCCCTCCAGATTACTAAATTCAACAGTCTGGACAGTTTGATGGACCACCTCAACCAACAAAAAGTCAGTGCAATACACTTAAAATAAAATACCCACATTTGGTCAAGTCTACAAAGTCTAGTGAGGTGATTTTCTAGATGAAATTATCACATTGACAAGATCACCTTTCCAAAAGGTACTAATATGTACTTTTAAGGTACTAATATGCACAGGGGTAAATAAAAGGTAAAAGGTATTGCCCCAATGACAGCTTTTGTACCTTTTTTTTCTGAGAGTATGCAACGGAGGCACTTTTAACACGCCAGAGGTGTAAAGTTTGGTTTTTAGTACCTGAAAACCAAACTTAAGTAAATGTAGAGATACTGTGCAGCGAAACTGACTCTATTATAGTCACCAACTCTAAAACCACTTCGGTAAAACGTCTTAAAGTATCTGATTTAACAGTACTCAAGTATTTTACTCAAACTCAACATAGGCTCAAAGATGCATTAGAGAAATGCCAGTGAAAAACGAGAAACAGCTGATTTGCGAGGAGAGCAATCACGTTTATTTTCCAAAATCGAAATAAAACTGAACACCTTTATCGCATTAAATGAAGGTCGTCAAAGCAGCCACTTAAACACTTAAAGTCTCGGTTAAGCTCAAGCTCTCCCACTATTTGATCTTATGTTTTGTAAAATGCTTTTTTTTTCTCATCTGAATTTAAGGAGGCTCTACCTCTGTTTCTTAACTTGCTTGTTAAATACCTGTAAATAGTATGAAAGAAAAGTACGTTTGGATGGAATATACTTATATGCTATTTAAAACTACACTATTAAAATATGGCCTTTCTATCACCAAATATAGAAATATGAAAATGTGGATAAGTTATTTTAAGTCAGTTGTGTCATGGAGCATCAAGACCCTCTGACAGTAAGAATTTCCAATGAAGTGCACATAAAAATTTTTTTTTTTTTTTTTTTATGTGAAGTGCACATAAAAAAGGCCTTTTGAACAAGTATCATGTGGTTCTGTGCTTCAGATCTTGTTGCTCTCCGCTCAGTAATGGAACACAGTAATGTATGTCCGTAGTGCAATTTTAATTTGACTAATTAAGATTTTACTGATATATTCTGGTTAAGAAAGTGAATTTTGGATTTGGGTAAAGATTGCATAAAATATTTAATTGAGAAAATTATGTTGTCAATGAGCAGGCGCTGTATTCTGAGATCAAAGGAAAGAAAGAAAAAGTGGATGATGTGGTCAAAGATGCAGACACGTGCGCTGCCTCCATAAAGGTGAGACTTCTTGTTTTTAATTACAAGAAGTATATGCAAATTATGCAAAAGTCTCAGCTCTCATATAACTGTTTTCGCAGGACTATGAGCTCCAGCTGGCATCCTACAGTGCAGGACTGGAGACGCTGCTCAACATTCCCATCAAGAGGACTATGCTGCAGTCTCCATCCACTGAACTGAGGCAGGAGGTAATCATATTACATCCAAGATTTAAATATTAGGTCCAATGTTTCACACATAGTACAAAACATGATGAATTAACATCACAGTTTGAGTGATTTACTTTATTTTGAGTTTATGAGTGAATTTTCTGCCTTCACTGACTTATAACTGTCTCACTAAAGGCGGCAGAGCTGCAGTCACGCTACATAGAGCTCTTGACGCGTTCAAGCGACTACTACAAATTCCTTGGGGAAATGATGAAAAACATGGAGGAGTTAAAGGTAAATTTTGTGTCTGATGTGTTGTGAATATATCTTTCCAAAAAACTTCCAAATCAGAGTTTGCCAAATTGGAAACCCCATTGGGTTCATGAGATGCCAGTGCCAAACAGCATGCACATTTATGATCTATATTATTTTAGCTTTTGTAGAAATGTAAGAATAAGGAAATGGAAACATAAACATGCAAAGATGTTGTGAAATCCAATACATATTTAACATTAAAATTGTAATAAAAAAAAAACTGTACATAGGTATTAGGAGCAGGGTTATTATAGTTAACTAAAACTGAAACTAAAATGGAGTTATCGGTCTTTGCAAATTAACTCTTCATATATATATATATATATATATTCCAGGTAGTTGGCAACATTTCTCATTTTAATTTACTTTAACTTGACGTACTAAAATAACTAAAACTAAAAACTAATACAGAAAAAGAAACTTTATTGGAATATATTTAAAAAAAAAAATACTAAAAATGACAAAACCAATAGCAAAATTACTAAAACTTAAACTAAAAATGAAACCTGTAAAAATAAAAACTCATTAAAAATATAAATAAAACTTTATTAATATCTCTAATGATACTAAAATAACACTGATTGTAAGTTTAACAGACAAAGTTTGTTTGGGAATCCCTGAAATATATAATGTAAAATGTTTTCTTTACATTTACAAGTAAATTTGTTTGAAGACAATTTTTGTCACCTGCAACAATTTTGTCACCTTGTTTAGGACACTAAAGATTGGTTACTACATAGTCAAGTTATTTTAACAGGTTTAGGATTAAAGCTGAATATTAAGGGTACACTTTATTTTGATGGACCCCTTTAGAATTCTGTTAACTATAAGTAACTTTGCAACTCCATGTCACTCCACTCTAGCAGTCATTAGAGTATTAGTAGACTGTTATGATAAGGTTAGTAGAATAAGTTGACATGTACTTGCAAAGTGACTTATAGTCAGTAGAATGTGTGTTGGGAGCATCAAAATAAAGTGTTAGCAAATATTGAGCAGACAGCCTACTAATACTCTAATGACTGCTAGATGACAAAGAGTTGCAAAGTTACTTACTGTATAGTCAGCAGAATTTCTAAAAGGGACCATGAAAATAAAGTTGTACCAGTATTAATAGTGCTGATACCAAGTGCAATACATATAGGAAACAAAAAGGAAACACAAATGTTCAAAATGCTTTCTTAAAAGTGAGAATTTGTTATGCTTGGAAGTTGCTACCCTTATCTTACACTATTCAATATGGCTTTTTTTTTAGATGCGGAACACTAAAATTGACCTTTTGGAGGAAGAACTAAAACGTCTCAAGGACAACCTTAAAGATCAAACACAAAAGAACAGGTCACTGGAGGATAGTCTGGCTCGCTATCGGCTGGAGCTGACCCAGTCTAAAGAAGAGCTTATATCTATAGAGGAGATCAAGAGAACCCAGGCTAGGCAATGCAATACTACTCAGGAAAGCCTGGACAGTACCCAGAGTCAGCTGAAGAAGTTACAAGATGAGCTGTCCCGCCTCACCTTCCTCATCGAGGAGGAGAAACGCAAACGCAGGCTGGCTGAGGACCGATACACCACCCAGCAGGAGGAGTATGAGCTCGCTGTCCGCAAGAGACAGAAAGAACTGGAGGAGCTCAGTTTGTCCAAAAGTCAATTTGAAAGGGCCATCAAAGAAAAAGAGCGGGAGATTGAACGGCTGAAATTACAGCTGGAGGATGAGGCCTCCCGGCGCAATGCAGCAGAATTAGAGACCTCAAAGGTAAGAACACAGTTGAACCAGGACATTAATAGCCTAAAGCAAACTTATGAATCTGAGATCCATATCACCAAGACCAGTGTGCTCAAGGCAACACAACAGAAGGAGGAGCAATCGTCAACGCTGAGACTTCAGCTGGATAGGTTAACCTCTGAGAAAAGAGACCTGGAAGAGGAACTCAGAAAGCTGCAGATTTCGTTCTCCCAAGTTGAAGCGGCACGAAGAAAAGCAGAAGAGGACGCTCATCAGCAGAGGTCTTCGGCAACCGAGGGGAGCAGGTTCAAGAACGAACTGGAGTCACAGATTCAGGTCATAACGCGTCAAAGGGAAGAGACTGAAACGAGATACAGGGTGGAACTGGCAGAGGCCAACAGAGCTGCTCAAGAAAAGACCCGTGAGATTACCTTGCTGACCCAGAATCTCCAAGACGAGACCAGGCGGAGGAAAGCCTTGGAAGTTGAGAATCAAAGTCTCAGACAGTCTCAGACTGAACTGCTCTCTAAGCACACTTCAACCACCGAGACCATTAACAAGCTAAAGGTCTCTGAGCAAGAACTACTCATTATAAAGCGAGACATGGAGACGCAAAAGAACGAAAAGAGCACGTTGGAAAAGAATGCCATCAGGCTGCAGAGTTGCATCAGTGAACTGCAGACAAAGGTGAACGAGTTGCAGGCAGAACTGGAAAAGGAGAAGAGGAGTAATCAGGATGAGCTCACAAGGAGGAAAAAGATCAAAACCGAGCTGGAGAGGGTCAATCAGATGTGCTGTGAATACACCACTACCATCAACACTCTAAGGGTCCATCAAGATCAGGAAAGTGCCTCTGGACGCAGGTATGAGCAGGAGCTTCGCAATTCGAAAGATGCGTTGGAGAGAAGCCAGAAGGAGTATAAAATCACAGTAGAGAATCTGAACAGAGTCAATGCCGAATTGAAAGCTTTGCAACAGCAGCTACTGCGGGAACAAGCCCTTGTCCGTGAGGCCAATCAACGCAACGATTCCCTCTACAAGACCATAGAAGAAAAGAGTCGAGTGCTAAATGAGAGCACCAGCGAGATCGAGAAGTTGCAGAGCCTCACCCAGAATCTCACCAAAGAGCGTCTGCGGCTGGAGGAGGAACTGAGGACTGTGCGACTAGAGCGAGATGACATGAAAAGAAGCCTGAGCACCATCGAGAGTGAAAGCGCTTCCCGATTGTCTGCCATTCAATTCCAGTTACAAACCAGCAATAACAGAGCACTGGAACTGCAGGAACTAATCAATGAACTGACTAAAGAGAGAGAAAATTTAAGGGTGGAAATTGCCCAAATCCAAAAGCAGTTCTCGGAGGTATTTTTTTCTGAGCGACATCAGTTGAATCAAAAATGCATCACCAATTTAAGCTATATCAAAATGGCTTTGCTGGATAACTCTTTACTGCATAATGCTTTACCTTTGAAAGCACATTTTCTGCATAACACTGCATGGTTACAATCTTTCCACAAAAAGCTTTTTTAATATTTGCTTTGATAACATAATTTTTGTTGTTCTATTCTAACTATGTTTGAATCAATATGGTGTTGGTGTTATAATTCTTTCCTTTGTTAAATCCTCTAAATGAATTATAATCTGACACAGTTCGTCAATAAATAATTTCTCTTTTATGTTCACAGACATCCATGATGATCCAGCGATCTGATGCCAACTACAAAGAAATTGTGCAAGAAAGAGATAGTCTTCTAGTCAAACTGAAGCTGTCGCAACAAGACAAAGACAAGCAGCAGCGCTCCGAAGAAGAGCTCCGGCGCATCAAACTCTCCTTGGAATCTGAGATCAAACAGAAGCAACGTCTCCAGGATGAAATTGATAAAATTACCAAGGATTTCAAGTACTGGAAAAGCCAATACGAGTTAAAGGAAGGGCAGATCAGACAGAGTGAGTCAGATCGAGACAAAGTACAGAGAGACAAGGCCTCCTTGCAGAGTGAGATCCAAAGATTGACTGCTGAGCTGAGGAGTCTGGAAGAACGCTTCAAGAATCGTCTTCAGAGCTCGGACAAGGAGATCTCAGAGCTCATAATGAAGAAGGAGGCTTTGGAAAGGGAATTGAAGTTATTGCAACAGCGTCCGGTTGCATGTTGTCGGTGTACACAAACCAGTCAGTCTGTCTCTGATAGTAGCAGTCAGAAACTGACAGTGAAAGGTCTCCGTGGTGAGGTCTCACTCACAGAGCTTGTAGACTCCAACTTGCTTGATCAGACTGATTTGGATAAAGTAAACCGAGGACAACTAACAGGCAAAGAAATTGAAGACAGACTCAGATCGTACCTAGGCGGCTCTGATTGCATTGCTGGTATCTACGATGAGGCCAATGATAGGGTCTTGCCCTTTTACCAGGCCATGAAAGATGGTCTACTTCGGCGAGGAACCACCCTGGAGCTCCTGGAAGCCCAGGCTGCCGCCGGTTTCATAATCGATCCAGTCAGCAATGTCTGCATGACAGTGGACGAAGCATGGAGAAGAGCTCTTGTGGGAAAGGAGTTTAAAGACAAGCTTCTGTCTGCTGAAAAGGCTGTGACAGGATACAAGGATCCTGCAACAGGAAAGATCATCTCACTCTTTCAAGCAATTGAGAAGGAGATCATAGAGAAGGGTCATGGGATTAGACTGCTGGAAGCTCAGATAGCCAGTGGTGGCATCATTGATCCTAAAGGGAGTCATCGGATTGATGTGGAAGTGGCTTACAGGAAAGGTTACTTCGACCGCGAAATGAACGAGATTTTGACATACGAGGGCGATGACACCAAAGGTTTCTTTGATCCCAACACCCATGAGAACCTCACATATCTGCAGTTGAAAGAGAGGTGCATCAAAGACCCCGAGACTGGGCTTATCCTGTTGCCTTTGAAGGACAAGAAGAAGCCAAAGCAAACGACGTCTCAAAAGAACACACTGCGCAAGAGGAGAGTGGTGATTGTAGACCCTGACACCGGCAAAGAGATGACCGTACGAGAAGCGTACCATCGTGAGTTAATCGACTATGACACTTTCCTGGAGCTTTCGGAACAAGAGTGCGAGTGGGAGGAGATCACTATCGAAGCATCTGATGGCAGCAAGCGTTTGCTTATTGTCGATCGCAAAACCGGAACCCAGTATGACATTCAAGAGTCCCTAGATAGGGGAGTTATTGATAGACAAACTCTGGACAAGTACCGTGCCGGGACTCTGACACTCCACGAGTTCGCAGGTCTGATCACAAGTAAAAGCAGCGGTTCTGAGCTTTCCATCTGCTCCAGCAGTCCTGAGGATGTTGCTACTTGCAGCAGCCCAACACAGATTGCGCCATCATCTCCAACCATCCGCAAACGTTTTGCTAGCGTATCCATTACGCTCTCCCCTCCATCTGATATTTTTGATGACCAGAGCCCCGTGGGAGCCATTTTTGATACAGAAACCCTTGAGAAGATAACCATCCCCGAGGCACAGCGACGTGGAATAGTGGACAACATCACTGCTCAGCGGCTCTTGGAAGCCCAGGTTTGCACTGGAGGGATTGTCAATCCTGCTACTGGCCAGAGACTCTCCCTGAAGGATGCTGTACAGCAAAGCCTTATCGATGAAGACATGTCCGTCAAGCTAAAACCAGCACAGAAGGCTTATGCTGGTTTTGAGGATGTGAAGACCAAGAGGAAACTTTCTGCCGCAGAGGCCATTAAGGAGAAATGGTTGCCTTACGAGGCAGGGCAGAGGTTTTTGGAGTTCCAGTACCTGACTGGTGGAATCGTAGAGCCAGAAACTGGCCGCCGGGTGAGCATTGAGGAGGCCATCCGAAGAGGATGGCTTGATGGCAAAGGGGCACAGAAGCTGCAGGACACGAGGAACTACATTAAGAACCTGACCTGTCCTAAAACCAAACTTAAAATCTCATACAAAGAGGCCATGGATAACTGCATGGTGGAGGAGAACAATGGCATGAAGATGCTCCAGGCTACTTCGATGTCTACCAAAGGCATAAGCAGCCCCTACAACGTGTCCTCGGGAACAAACTCTCGTACAGGATCCAGAGCAGGGTCTCGTACCGGCTCAAGAAGTGGATCACGCAGAGGCAGTGTTGACTACACCTCTTCGATTACTTACAGCTACATGTCATCTTAATTATAGTGTAATTCCTATGCTTAGAATGTACAATTTACGTTTAAGAATGATTTTCTATTCATGAGGATATAAGTATGGTTTTGGGATACAGAATGTAGATTAACTTCTTTTACTAGCGCTGATCAATTGGCTTGGGTGTTTAAGATGTTTTTAGATTTGTATGTTTTGCTAATGCATTGGATTTTTGATTATTTACTCATGGGGAATCTTAGATTTATCATGACATTTAACAATGTTTTCATTATTCCTTATTTGTTTATTCGCTAGCCTATATGTTTTCTAATATTTTCCTTTCCATGTTTCATTTTACATTTATTCATTTAGCAGACACTTCTGTGTAAAACAACTTACAAATGAGAAATGTAACAAGCAATTCATCACCAGCATTATACATAGTTCAGAAAACTATATCAGGAAACAAGTACTTATTTGAAACATCTACTGACTTAGTATGAACATGAATCTACTAATTTCAAAGTGGAAATCTGATATTTTTTGAGATTTGCTTTTAATAATCTGTGTTTATATGGAGCAATTTCAACAATAAAAACTATCAAATTATAAACTACCATTCTCTCTGTTACTTATTACTACAACAGTCAAAATAATTTTTATGACACCACATTTGACAATTTCCTATTACTCTTTAACATTTTTTTCATAGGCATAATTTGCGGGTGCACAGGTCCCAACCACTTTTTGCCACAGATGATTTTGTCCCCAACACTTTTTGAAAACCACTGAAAATATCATGCAGAAGGCTTACAAAGCAAAGAAAAAGCCAACCTAATTATTAATTGGACAAATTTGTAATGGACACACATAGGCATACATCGGACATACTGTACATTCAACAATCGGCATCCATGTGCAATTTAACAAAAACATCAAAAAGGAAACCAGAAAACAATGAAAAAACAGGTAATTTAAAACTACTAAAAAACAATTGTAAATCTTAAAGAGATCCCAACAATCGATATCTCTGCTTCAGTATCATGAACACAAAGTGGCTTGCTTTTTGAGCAGGTAAACACTGCAAAACAGTTCAAATATGAACATGACGACAGACATGAATAACATAACATTATGAAAGCATAAACAACAAAACAGCACATGATTACAAAGCCAGCAAAGGAAGACTATGAAACTATTAAGAATCAATTTCATTAGTGTGCATCCATAAAATGGTAAGTTAATCATCCATAAAATTGCAACTTTTATTTTTGTTATTTTAATTATGTATAGAGAGAGAGAGAAATTATTTGGCACCACCTGTGAATCATGTTTTTGCACCTTTCATCATGAGTTTGCACCTTAAGCAAGTTTGTGTAATCATCCTTAGGCTATATGTTGTCAACATACAGGTATATGTTTGCATGACATAACCCACGCTTACATAAGTAACATCAAAAGCCTATATCTGCATGTAATTTACAGTAATATATAATACAGTAATTGTTACCTTATGTAGGCTATCATATAGCACAATGCCTATAGTAAACAAACTGCTGATATTACACAAATTCACAGTGACTCAGCTTTTATCTAAAAGCCATCTAGCTACTCATTTCGGTATTACAGTTCAGATGCTAAGCATTTAATTTGTTCATATTGTAAATAACAATTAATATTTGGTCAATTTGGGGTTCAGACAAGACATACATGCAGATACCTACCTATGTATTCAACCTCAGTTATAACATGAATAGTAGAACTGGAAGAAATTAAACATACCAGAGTAAACTTCATATATTCTGAATCCTGTTAAAGTACATGTTTTCAGAGTTTATACAATAGGTTCTCTACAGTGGAACTGTGCTCCTGTGGAGCTTTTTGTAGTTAATGATTAATATCAGCATCAATAGGAGCTCCATAAAACACAGTAATGATGCAGCAGAACAATCACTGATTATCTGTTGATTTAGCAGAACTTCAGTATAGTAACTCTAGCAACAGTGCAGGAAATATACATTTATCTGTCATTTGTTCACCAGGGAAATACTTCATACAGAATATTAAAGTGGCATGTTCAAAAGGTGCATTAAATGCCATAAATATGATACAAATAATACTGCACAACCTAATATAACCCTAAAATAACAGGGAGGCGTAGATAAACAGAGTAATTTCCTGTCTGTGAAGATAAATTGTAAAAAAGTACAGGCTTTTGACCTGAACCCGGACACTGACACGCAAGGGTCACGCCCCTTCACTGGAAAGAACTCGTTTGAAAGGCCTATTTCTTCAAAATAAAATTTCAGATGAAAACGTATGATTTCATAGATGCATATAAATAATTACCCAATTGTTATCATTTTTTCGCGACAAAATAGACGATTTATTACGCATTTAAACGCATTGTTCTAATTGTTTAGTTGCGCAATCGTTTTAAAAAGACTTTTATTTTGTAAAAGCGGATAGCAGCGTCACTTTGACGTGTGACATGTTACGTCACTCTGTTCCCGACAGTCACGCAGCTCTCAACCGGCAGAAAAGGACAGCTTCACAGCAGAAAACTTAATAAACAGGTATGTTATAACCTTAATTTAATATCTGATTGTTTTGCTAATATAATAAAATGTTATAGTTTAATTACAAAGAGCGACAGTGATTATGTGTGCTCTCAGAAACGGCTAACTCTTGAGGAAATGTCGCATCTTTTCATTGAACGCTGATGATAAGATGTAAATCAAAAGACTGTCATTGCTGTTTATATTTTATTACATGTGTACATCAAGTGAGAACTGTGTAAAATCATTTATTAAGTGGCCTGCGTGCATCGTTTGACCGTCATATAACATGTCATTAGTAATCACTAGCTCAACTCGGTCATCAGTTGAACTTTTCCTTTCAGTTTCCTTGATGTATTATTTGATATATCATTAGCCTCCTCTTGCTACAACACACTAATGACCTACGGTTTAAACAAATTAAAAATAAAAAAAATCTTGCGTTTTACAGTACAATATGGTTCGTAATTCTGAATTCCTTAAAGCCTATGTGCCTGTAACGACTTAATACTTTACTCATTTATTGGCCAGTTTGATAAACTGGCTGATATTAGGCCATTTATTGATTATTTGACGTGGCAACTTATAAACCTGTAACAACACAAAATACAAGTGTGATGGAGAATGCATTAGTTATGCTTATCTAGAGTAAAAAGTTTCAGAGAATGGCACTGTGTCGTTTAATTTATGACATGTAATCTTTATTCAATATTGCCTTTTAGCCAAGATGACTGCCATGGAATACGAAGACAATGAATCCAAGTTTATCAGAAAAGCCAAAGAGAATCCATTCGTCCCTGCAGGTAAACCATTTAAACATTATAACTTGTTACTTTCTCACGTATGCACTAAGTATTTAGTTTGTATCTCATTATTAAGTCACATGGCTTCTTGGACCACAAAACCAGTCATAAGGGTCAATTTTTCGAAATTGAGATTTATGCATCATCTGAAAGCTGAATAAACAAGCTTTCCATTGATGTATGGTTTGTTAGGATCGGACAATAGATACAACTATTTGAAAATCTGGAATCTGAGGGTGCAAAAAAATCTAAATATTGAGAAAATCATCTTTAAAGTTGTCCAAATGAAGTTCTTAGCAATGCATATTACTGATCAAAAATTAAGTTTTGATATATTTATGGTAGGAAATGTACAAAATATCTTCATGGAACATGATCTTTACTTAATATCCTAATGATTTTTGGCATAAAAGAAAAATCTATAATTTTGACTCATACAATGTATTTTTGGCTATTGCTACAAATATACCCCAGCGACTTAAGACTGCTTTTGTGCTCCAGGGTCACATATATTACATCACCATAACTCTTTCATATATTCTATTTCATGTCTCTCTGTGATGTCTCTTAAGGGATGGCTGGGTTCTTTGCCATTGTGGCGTACAGACTGTTCAAACTGAAGAACAGAGGAGATACGAAGATGTCAGTCCACCTGATTCACATGCGTGTGGCTGCGCAGGGCTTTGTGGTGGGAGCCATGACTTTAGGTGAGGTGCTTTGCTAGATTTACACATCCAGAAATGTATTGTTTAATGCAATATTTTGTCTTTTTGTTTGCAGGAGTGATCTATTCTATGTACAGAGAGTACGTTCTCAAACCTCATGAAGCACAGAAGGCGTTAGAGCAGAAGGCATTGGAAAAAAAGTGAAGAGAAATGTGTTAGATTCTTGCGATATCCTTAATACCAACGGTTTGTGTTTATTGCTAACGTAAGAACTTTTTAAAAATAATTTCTTGAAACGGTTTCCTTTTTAAACTTTAATAAACCTCAGAAAAGGAGGTTAGGTTGCCTGGCATGTTTAAGAAACATTGTACAGTATGCGACGGAATTGTAGCTGTTTTGCTACCGCCAATTACTATTTATGAAAAAATGTTTTTTTGTTACTGAAAATATTTGGATTAGTGTAATTTCTGCTGAATGCTGCTACTCTTGTGTCAGTGTTGTGCCCTTGTTTCATCACAGAAGTGTGGAATTAAGACCTTTGCACCTTGTAACTCAAGATTCGTTCTTGTATCATTTAAATCAATAGTCGAAAGAAATTCCAGGACAGCAAACCTAACGAACCATCATCTGAAATTTGACAATGCATTGAACACAATATGGGGACTTCACTGCTTCACTGTGTGTATGAGTGTGAGTGTCACGAGGAAGGAGAGGAGCTTGTTCTTTTGTAGATTTATTGATTGATTGTGTTACTGTGTGAGGTAATTATTGCACCTTTTTTTTCATATTTCAAAACAGACACAAATTGTACTTTTCGAGTGATATATATTTTGAGGATCTCAGCTACCACTGTGTTTATCTTTGCCAATAAAAACTCTTCTGGTTATTTCACACTCGTGTGTTACTGTGATGTGTGTGTTTCGCAGTCCTGCTCCGGGAGTCCCAGGATAGTACCATAAAGTATACAGTATGTCAGTTTTCTGTATGCATAATATGCTTATGATGTTAGTTGTGCTACTACAATACAGAATCCAAAATGCTTCTTTGATTTGAACACCCATTTACAGTGGGATGAATGAACATTTATCTCGTGGTTTACTCATTGTTTGATTAGACTGCCAAAAAAATTAGATGTTTTTACACAAAATTAGAATTCATCACAGCTTATATGAACTATTGAAACAGCCCGTCACACCCATGAACTGCAACCATTTTCTGCTATCTGTATTTATTACATTTAATCATTTCACAAGACGACAAGTGACTAAGACACTTGGCAGAAATGCTTGTCACCAGTGAATGATACACATCTGGATTTGTAAAGCCCACAGAGACTCGGGGCCAGTTGAACTCAATCAAAGGACGGTGTATATTACTGGCTTCACTAACAAATGACGTTAGGTTTGCACATCTCTACATAGATGATGTTGCCTAGTTTGTAGTGTGTAAGTACATACTGAATGTTTTTGTAGGATATTTTGGACTTGCAGGTCTTGCTTTGGTACCATCTCAATATCACTGAGATTCAGAACAAAGATGAACAAACACTTTTCCAAGATCTGAGACTGATTTAGCAATAACAAAAAT